TTAGACATCACAGTGATGGGTGACATTATAAAAACACAAATAGATAGGCAGAGAGATGGGATCAACAAAAAAGATTTAGGTGTTACAAGGCTAAGCATCACAATGCCTAGCTTTTAGGTGCCTGGAAAAAATCATATGAACAATACTGTGATCCTCAAAGCATGAGTTAGGCACCTATGCTCTCTACACAATGCATGGGGAGAGATAGGCCTTAGAACACAATCAGCCAAAGCCAGCACACTAGGCAGACAGCCAGCTGCCTAACTTAGCCAATGGGAGATGCTCTCTTTATGGCTCAGTGACTGTTCCATTGTGAATAAATACTTTAATAGTCCTGGGAGGGAGGAGGTGGGGGAGAGAGAGAGAATGACTGTAGTCCAGTGGCTAGGTCAACCAGCCAGGTGGGAGATCATGGATCCAGTTCCCCTGCTCCCATCATTCTTTTATTATTTATCCACAGTGGAACAACTTTTGCAGGAGAGATTGAGGGAGCTCTACATTAGAATATCCCCATAGCCTCCTGTGCAAATATCCTCACACCCTCACAAAGAAGGGTGAATTGAACTTACATCTCCCACATCTCAGGAGTTTGCTCTAACACTGGGCTAAAAGTTATAATGTGGGCATCACCAACACCTTTTCTTCCAGCCAGATTTTGAATGGGATCCGATCCAGTAGGTGTGCTCAAAGGCCACCTACCAGATCAGGCCCCACACACAAGTGAGGTGGATAAGCACCTATCTTCCCCTAGTTTGTGAATTGCCCCAGGGCATAGGCAGAAAATGGGTACCTGGGCATCTAGAGGGAGGCAGCAGCATGCATGCCCCAGGGTCTAAACCTTAGGCATCTAGGGAACTTTTACAACAGAAAGTTAGTCACTGAGTTACGTCCATACAGTATGAGGTAGCAGCTAAGCAGGAGTATCTTGGATCACAGTGGCACAACACAAAGGGACTTAGGTGGCTACATTGTTTCATGGATTGCACCATGACTTGTTGAGGATCTCATTACTCACAAGTGGTGGAGCCATAAATACATTATATACAGGTCTTTCCAAACAAAAGGCAACAGCAACAAAAAAACTTTACAGCTGTCTGCAACAGATCTCATATGGTTTGTTTTCATCCTAATTTTAGTTTTCTTGTGCATTCTCCCCTTTGCAGTACATTGGTTACTATAGGAAAGATTATGGGATGGCTATGGGTGCAACTTACTTGTAGACATATGGTCAATTTATACTACAGTACTGATAGTTCACAAATCATGGTACACATTTGAGTTTAATATGACAGCTTTCATGGCTACATATTTTATATGGAATACATATGGAAACACTTTCGTCAGAGGAATCTATAAGAGGAATACAGCACTGTGTGCTTACTCCTCTGGTAATGCTTTTTTAGCTCTTAACTCAGCTGAAACTAACCTATAGGCTCTCTGCAACATTAAGCTTTTATTGTGAGAACATCTCCCATAAAGGTGATCACCATTTAAACAGAGCAAGTACACTTTACACTTAAGACCAAGACGTACTATCAGATTCTGAAAAACATCTTTGCCTTTCATTTGGGGGGGGGGGGGGGGGAACTAACAGGTGAACTAAGGTATTTCCCTCACTCACCTTGTAGCCAATTTTAATCTTTTCTGTGTACAACAAAAAAAGTAAAAATGTTACAAAGCAAACAATTTCATCCACTGAAGATCAAGTAGTGCAAGAAATAATTAAGCTTGTTTAGTCAGTCTTGTATTTGATGTAGTTGCTTTTCCATGGTGATTTGTTAGTGGCACATGAAACCCCAATGAGAGAAATTATTTGAAGGCACGTTTTTCCTTGTTGTTTTGTTTACAATTTATGTGAAAAGGCTGCCCTCTTCTGACAACAGTTTTAATTCTTCTAAAATTTATTTTGTTAGTACTACCACAACCACTAACCTTTTCTCTTTCAACCTTTCTGTACAGCTTATTGGCAATATATGTACAGGCATTTTGCCTATGCACATATTCAAGACTTTACAAGAAACAGAGAAAAGATAAGGTAATTAAGCAAGAGTGTGGCTACGGTACTCTGAGTTGGAAATGAGAGAACAGTGAGTAATTTATATGTGACTATGCAGATCACAGAAACATAATTGGTCCAGTCAAATCATTAAACACAATATAATCACCAAGCCACCCCTCTGAGACATCACCTAAGTAGGCTCTGGAGAGTTGCCATTTGGGGGTCAGGCAGGATATTGGTCTATCTACATATTTCCATCATGGTACTGCTCCTCAAATGTACACTATTTTCTAGTTTTCAAAGATACACAGTACAAGCTAGACACCAGTTCCTGCAATTAATTCCTCATATTGAGTCCACCTGCATGGAAGTCATGGCCCGATAGGGTTCTAGGAGCTGAATTTGACCCTGAAACAGTTAATGTTTTCTCTTTAAAGCATAAAGTTGCAGTTACTGGTTCTCTTACATCATATGTAAGTTTATACGTTGGATCAAATCACACATTCCTTACTCACATGAGCAATCCCACTGCAATCATTGGGACTACTTCTTAGTGAAGAGAGCAGCTATTGGCACTATAATTTCTTTTCTCTTAAAGAAGTGTATCTCTATTTCAATATCTCCAGAATTGTGAGGGCAATTGGTGTTCCTCTAAACGAGCTGCCATTTTACATATACTTATCAGAAGGCAGTCCAATCTGATAATATAGCTTAAAACACAGGAAGTGTCTCATTTTTTTTAAATGCATGAGATAGGCAGTAGACTTTCAAAGTTGTAAGTTATACTGCAATTTTAAAAAATTGGTTATCAGTGATTTAACTCATGCATTTAAATGCTCACCTGCTTTTCTTATGTCTGAACCTATGGCTATCAAAAAGAGGTCTTATGTGATTGTTAATTATTCTGTCATAATTAACACCCCTCCTAAAAGTAACCTATGACCCTATTCTTAAAATACCTGGGCTGCAAGAGAAGAGATGTTTCTAAATGGGCTTACTTTTCCTTGAAAATCAAACCCCCCTTCAGCCTTTTTTAACCTATCTAATTGCATTTGAATTTAGGCCCAATCCTACAAACACATATGCTTAAATTTTACTCAGGTGAGTAGTCCCATTGATAAGAACATAAGAATGGCCATAGTGGGTCAGACCAATGGTCCACCCAGCCCAGTATTCTGTCTTCTGACAGTGGCCAAAGTCAGGTGCTTCAGAGGCAATGAACAGAACAGGCAATTCTCAAGTGATCCATCGCCTGTCATCCACTTCCAGATTCTGTCAGTCAGAGGCTAGGGACACCTGGAGCATGGGGTTGCATCCCTGACCATCTTCGCTACTAGCCATTAATGGACCTGTCCTCCATGAACTTATCTAATTATTTTTTGAACTTGTTATATTTTTGGCCTTCACCACATCCCCTGGCAATGAGTGAGATAGTTCATGTGTGCAAAGTTACTCACATGTCTGTGTGAAAATTGTTCTTAAACTAGCATACTTCAAGACACTGTTAAATAATAGTGATATAACTATTAGAATATCTTCAGTATATTTAATCTTTCCTTTACTGACTCCATTCCCTAGTCAATTTAGAATGGGTTTCTCCCTATATTTTCATCATGATATTTTTTTGAAATGTTATAGTTAGGAGAAAACATGGATTCAGCTAAATCAGATTATATTTGGATTAATTTCATTGAAATTAATTGACATCAGAAATTGAGTTGCAATAAACTGTCATATTTATCAATTTTCTCCTCCTGTGAATTAGTAAGTGCTAAACATAAACACTGCATTAAACCTCCCAAACCACTTAGCATATGGCTAAAACACAATGTGAAGTACATACTACAAGTAAGTGCTAATTAGGTCCCTTTGGCATTACTGCAATATATTGCCTCATTAAAGATCCTAAATTCACTCTTGGAACAGATCTGTTTTCTGATGGTTAGACTCTTCCATTACTGTTAAAACATAACTATAAGCAAAATAGAAGTTATGTTTTAAGATCAAGTGAATAAAAATATTTCATTACAATATTTCTAAATTTAATCTAATGTCTTTCAAGCACTCTGCAAAACTGGAGCTACACAATAATAGAAAAGGCAGCAGTTATACATAGGCATTCAGTGAGCATTACGTGCATGGGTACAACAGATTTCTAGACAGACTGCTGTGTATGTGCAGAGTTCTATACCTATTTCATACCACCTAGCAGTAAAATCTGGTAATTGTAGACACCATTCCTAATGCCACACAATTTCTCTGTAAGTATATTCAAAGCTTCATAGATTCCAAGACTCTGTGATCATCCAGTCTGACTTTCTGTATAACACAAGCCATAAGCAGACATTCCAATGTCTTCAAACCTGCATGCCAATCTCTTGTCCATTCCCATTAATAGACAAACACTTAAAGATTTGTAATACTAGTCACCTACAGAAGACACTGGAGATCAGAGAATTGCTTTAAACAGCAAATTTACATATATTTGCACAAATATCAACTATTCTGGTTTCCAAAAATAGAAGCATCACATAACAAAATAAACACAAATTATTTATTCAGTGAATATAATAGTCCATAATTGCTGTATACTTGGTTTGTATATAATCAGTGTAGCATATTAAATTCAGAGATAATTATGTCTTAATATGAAAAATTATAAAAAAATTACATTTATATTACATGACAACTAATTTGCCATGATCAGCACAGATAGTTATATTTAATTCAGAGTACTCCTGGAGTATTCTTGCTACTTACAAACAATGGCTAATAGATCATTGTATGTGTTCTGCCATCATACATATGTTTTCAAAATTTGACTGAACTGGTTGTTGAACTTCACTCTACAATACCCAAAGGAAGCAATGAAGATTATCATTCCGACTTCAGAAACTGAGCCTGTTTCGACTCATTTCCCTCCTCACTGCAGGCCTTCGTCCTAAGAAAGAATTAAACGTGATATTGTCTACAGAAGAAAGCAAGTTAGCAGAGGCTCTCTTTACTTGTTCCTCTCTTGGCATGGAATAGGCTTGAAGGTGGTTTCGATGTTTTCCAGAAGTACAAAATCATATCTGCACATCTGCAGCCTGCATAAATAGACAAGGAGAGAGAACACGCTCTCAGTATAAAATAATTTTCTATTTTTAATTCACATTCAAAATACTGTAGTATATGAATGATTAAGTTGGTGGCATTTAGCACTTTTAAGAAAATATGCTCAGGACAAGGGGATAAGTCTTTTTGTCTCTGTTTAGTCCTTGTTCCTTGGGTAATAAGCTGGGTAGTGCTGTAGGGAAGGAGTAAGAATGTCCTGCCAGTCTGACCAATAAAGATAGGCGTTGTCATTCAGCCTGGGGTGGATTTAGTCTTCGTTCAAACTATCCTCTTGGAATGACTGGCTCTGGTACAGAATAGCCAATTCCTAGGAAACAATTAGGGTTGAATATTTTGTTGTTCCCCTGCCCACAGAGGTACAAAGATATCTTTCTAGCTGGGGCTGGTTAGCAGATATGTGTGATGTAATCCTTCCTTACCATTCTCCTAAGGAAGGGATGTGGCTGTTATAAGTGAATGGAGCAATGCAAAACCAAGTCGTCCCATTTCCTCCTTTTTCTTGTTGCAATGGCTGCCTATTGGAGAAGGTTTTATGTAGATGGTGGTGGGTCAATTTGGCACATCAACATTAAGAAGTCAAAATTCTTACAATATTGTAGTACCAGATTCTGCCTTGCCCCAGCATGGGTGTGCAATACGGTAAGGAGGGCATAAGAACCCTCTCGCTATGTGAGACCCACATAAGAGCCATGGAGGAGCACACAGTGCCCCACAAAGGTAGGAAAGAGGCCATGGCCCTGCCCCTCATGCATGAGTAAGCAGAGCTGGATAGAAGGGACTGGATGTGTGTGGGGTAAGAAACTATCCCACAAAGGAGTGTTACAGCAGCATCTATATACTGGTGCTCCCTTTGGGGCAGTGTGGCTATGCACTGCCCTCTATGCCATTTAGGCAAAGCTGTGAATTAATCAATCCAGTCCCATAGTAGGATGGGTTTTAGGGGATGACATGGAGAAGAGGAAAAAAATGGGAAAAGATGTACAGCCTCTTTGGTTATTTCATTATTTATAAGTGGGGTTTTCAAGTCAGCTATAGCTCCACCTATCTGAGTAAAGGGACAGTGGTTTACCATATGTTGTACAGAACAGCAAGCTTGGGCCCTACTCAATCTTCCCTAGGGAAGACAAATGAATAGAGTTTATAGATATAGTGGTTCCCTCTGATTTTGCCTAACCTCCTATGAGCTGTGTTCTGCAGAATTTCACCCAGTAGTTTCTACATCAAAGCCATAACTTCTAGGTGAGCTAAAGCATATCTTTTTAATAATGCTTTAATTTTCTGTGGAACAGGAGAGAAGCAATTCCTGCATATTACTGCTGGAGCCTTGAGCATTTTTTCATCTAGAGCTCCTCACAAGAGACCTTCAAAGAACTCATGGAACAGCTTCCAGGCCAAGCTGCAACAACAAATCATTATGTACATCTATATCAAGGTTTACTTTGTACACCTCTACCCCGATATAACGTGGTCCTCTGGAGCCAAAAAATCTTACCGCATTATAGGTGGAACCACGTTATATCAAACTTGCTATGGAGGGCTGGGTAGCAAAGGCCATGCCTCCCCAAACAGCCTGGGCCCACCCCCATCCGACCCCCACCTACTTCCTGCCCCCAACTGACCCCTCAGAACTCCCAACCCTCCCTGTCCCCTGACCACCCCACGAGACCCTCTGCCCCTTATCCAACCCCCAGCCCAGGCCCCTTACACCCCACTCAGAGCAGCGTGTCAGAGCCAGATATGCTGCCGCCATAGGCGCCAACTCCATGGGTGCTCCAGGGCTGGAGCACCCATGGAGAAAAATTGGTGGGTGCAGAGCACCCACCAGCAGCTCCCCGACCCAGCTCACCTCTGCTCCAGCTCTGCCTCCTCCCCCAAGTGTGCCGTTGCCATTCTGCTTCTCCCTCTCCCTCCAAGGCTTGCCGCAAATCAGCTGTTTGGCATGGCAAGCCTGGGAGGGAGCGGGGAGAAGCAGAGCAGCGGTGCGCTTGGGGGAGGAGGCGGAGCTGAGCTGGTGAGCGGTTGCTTTGCCTTTTCCCCCCCCGCCCCCCGTTACTTGCTGCGGACCTCCCCCCACACCCCTCCCTGTCCCAGCTCACCACCGCTCCGCCTCCTCCCCTGAACTTGCTGCTGCTCCGCTTCTCCCTCCCAGGCTTGTGCAAGCCTGGGAGTGAGGGGGGAAGAGGGGAAATGCTTTACCACATTATCTCTGAATTTGCATTCTAGCGGATCGCATTATATTGGGGTAGATGTGTATATGCCTTGTAATCATATAGTGCTGTAATTTTAATGTACCTGAAGATAGTAGGTACCAGCACAGAGTAGTACAATACTGGACCAAATGCTGAATTAAGAGAAATGTGTGAATATAGGCATTTCTTCCAATGTGACCTGCCATTCCATCAGTGGAATTTTTACCTCCTAAAGATATTTCTTATCCATGGGAGAGAAAACAGTACACAGACAACACTGCAAGCTTCATTTTGGAGTTTGATCTCTTCACCAGAGAGATCAGGTGAAGAGTCCTGAAAATTGGGTGTGGCCCCAGGGGACACCCAGGTTCATACACCATCTGTGTGGATCAGTCCAGGTGACAACTGTCCCATCTATGATATATCCTGGACTACAACTGTCTGCTATTAGCATAGCACCATAGGTCTCCCCCTGCACCTGTGCCCTTTTCTTAATCTAATCTTTTGCTGTATGAACATTTCAGACCTTTCTGATTATGGCATATTTATGTAATTATAATTATGTCTAACTACATGAAGTGAATGTGTAGTCACTCTAATTAGAGGTATTTTCGGAATTACCATGAGCAATTATGTAATTACAGCAAATAAAGGCATCATAAAATCTGTATTAAAATTATTTTGAAATTTCAGACTCGGACTTTAAGGCCAGAACGGACCGTCGTGATCTTCTAGTCTGACCTGAACGTTGCAGAACACAGAACCTTGCCCATCCACTCCTGTAATAAACTCATAAACTCTAGCTGAGTTATTGAAATCCTCAAAGCATGATTTAAAGACTTCAAGTTACAGAGAATCCACCATTTACTCTAGTTTAATCCTGCAAGTGAACCTTGCCCCATGCTGCAGTGGAAGGCAAAACCCCCCCAGGGCCTCTGCCAATCTGACCCAGGGGAAAATTCCTTCCCAAGCCCAAATAGGACAATCAGTTAGACCCTGAGCATGTCAGCAAGACCCACCAGCCAGATAAGTCATTGGGAAAGAAGTCATTGCAGTAACTCAGAGCCCTCTCCATCCAGTGTCCCATCTCTGGCCATGGGACATTTGCTACAAGCAGTTGCAGATGGGCAACATGCCATTGTAGGCAGTCTTGTCATGCTATCTCCTCCATAAATGTATCAAACTCAGTATCAACACCAGTTAGATTTTTGCCCCCACTGCTCCCCTTGGAAGGCTGTTCCAGAACTTTACTGCTCTGATGGTTAAAATCCTTCATCCAATTTCAAGCCTAAACTTGTTGATGGCCACTTTATATCCATTTGTTCTTCTGTTCACATCGGTGCATAGCTTAAATAACTCCTCTCCCTCCCTGCTATTTATCCATCTCTATTTATAGAGAGCAATCATATCTCCTCTCAGTCTGTTTGGTTAGGCTAAAAAAGTCATGCTCCTTGAGTCTCCTCCCATAAAGTAGGTTTTCCATTCCTCTGATCATCCTCGTTGCCCTTCTCTGCATCTGTTCCAGTGTGAATTAATATTTCTTAAACATGGGAGACCAGAACTGCACACAGTATTCCAGATGAGGTCTCACCAGTTCCTTGTATAATGGTAATAACTTCCTTACCTCTACTGGACATACTTCACCTGATGCAGCATACGATTGAATTGGCTTTTTTTCATGGCCACATAGCACTGGCAGCTCATAGTCATCCTGTGATTGACCCAAACACCCAGGTCTTTCTCCTCGTCTGTGGCTTCCAACTGATACACCCCAGCTTATAGTGAAAATTCTTGTTGTTAGTCCCCAATTGCATGACCTTGCACTATTAAATTTCATCCCATTTCTATTACTCTAGTTTTCAATGTCATTCAGATCTTCTATGATATTCCATTCTTCCTCTGTATTGGCAATACCTCCAACTTTGTGCTATTCGCAAATTTTATTAGCACACTCCCAATTTTTGTGCCAAGGTCATGAACGAATAATAAGGTTGATTCCAAGATCAGTCCCTAAGGAATGTCCCTAGTAACCTTCCTCGGGCCTGACAGTTCACCTTTCAATATGACACAGTGTAGTCTCCCCTTTAACCAGTTCCTTATCCACCTTTCAATTCTCATATTAATCCCCATCTTCTCCAATTTAACTAATTTCCCCAGTGTGGAAGTTATTGAAATCCAAGTAAATAAGATCTACTGCATTTTCTTTGTCTTAAAAAAAATCAGTTGTCTTCTCAAAGAAAGAGCTCAGGTTGGCCTGGCAAGATCTACCTTCTGTAAAACCATGTTGTATTTTATCCCAGTTACCTCTATGTCCTTAACTAGTCTCACTTTCAAAATTTGTTCTAAGACCTTGCATACAACTGAGGTCAAACTAACTAGACTGTAGCTTCCTGGATCACTTTTTTTCCCCCTTTCTTAAAAATAGGTAGTATATTAGCAATTCTCCAATCATAGGTATGACCCCCAAGTTTATGGATTCATTAAAAATCTTTGCTATTGGCTTTGCAATATCATGTGCCAGTTGCTTTAATATTCTAGGATATAAATTATCTGGGGTCCTGCAGTTTGGTTCCATTGAGCTGTTTGAGTTTGACTTCCACCTTTTGATGTGGTAATTTCTACTTCCATACCCTCATTTCCATTAGCCACTCTGCTAAACTTCTGATTACCCTTATTAAAAACTGAGGCAAAATACTTGTTTAGGTGTTGGGCCATTCCTAGATTATCTTTAATCTCCATCCATCCTCAGTGCTTAGCAGTACCACTTCTTTCCTTGTTTTCTT